TATATACATTTTTCTTTTTTTTAATAAACTTTCAAATGCAGAAGTTGTAAACTTACAAAGCTAAATGTCAAGAGGTCGTAACTTATCGCTACGGCTGTAGTCAGCTCTGCTGCTTGCATCTCTGCAGGGATCAGATTTTCCAAGGCAATTGTCTTGCAAATCATTGCAATAAATAATTTACAACTTGCTGTTTGAATAATTGGCTTCTCCTTTTCAAAGGAGAGCAGAAACCTGTATTGCCACACCAAACGATTATGTCAGAAAAACAATCTTATTGCCACAATTATTTTTTACAGCTGGTATCTTCCAATCACTGCAACTGAGTTAATAAGTAATGTGAGCTAATAATCACGAGTGCTTAACAATAACTTTATGCAACATAGATAATTTAAGTGGTCGCTTTTGTGTGAAATGCACAGTGGGCAAATGATCAGGCTTGAGAAACATTGTGGTGGCTGGAGAGGGACGGGCTTAACAGGAACTTCAGCGTTAATAAACTGAGGTTAAGCAGAAGTCCTAAAACAATGCCAAGGACAGCGAGCAGCTTACACAACCAGCCTCCGTAAAACACGCTGGTGAGCACAGCAGTTATCAACGAGAGTCATAGGCCTCTTGAACACTAAATCGTTTTAACTTAATAAAGCAAACAGAGTCTGATTTGCACATGAGATTAGAGTAATACAACCACTCCAAAGTAATAGTATTTTAATACTTTAAATAATTGATTAAACAGGAAATCATTTATTGATTAAAAATATAAGCCGATAAACTCTTGCTTGCCTAACAACTTAAGGACTAAATGTGTCCACAACCACACGATGTGGCATTCGCACATCTTCAGCACACACATTTTCAGTCACATGTCCGTGGCCCTTACGTTCACTTATTACTTCTAGAGATGGCAGAAAGTAATCATCGCAGACTATGGAGACAGCCAAAAGCATGTAGAATATGAGCATGAAATATATGACCAGGCCTCCATCTTTCCTCTCCCGCACCGTGAAGAAGCCTTCGGGAAACTCGGAGGCTTGTGGTGCGATGCATTCTGTTTCGTTCTCTGAAACGACAGGAAACACACGCAAACACACTCCTGTGGAGCCGTCACTGAGAAAATCTGCTCAGACAAACAACTCGAGCAGTTTGGGGAATCTGGTAAGATTGTCTGAATTCTTGACGGAATTTACTCTGTGCCAAATTAAATGTCCGACTAATCTTTAGTCCACGATTAAATCTTCTTACAACCCTACGTTTGGTTATGTTTCACGTGTTTCTGATGGGAAAATCGAAATGTGCTCTTTGCACAAAAGGTTTACAAACTAGCCGTGTTATTAGACAGAACTCTGCTGAATTTGAAGTCATGTGAAAAGTCTGTGATAAGCAATGACAGGGTTATTACATGATTTATACAGGACACTGGTTTGTTAGCTGTGTCATCCGATTAAGAAATATGTGAATAAAAAGATATTGTGTTTATGGGTGCAGGAAGATTTTCACCACCTGGGGAAAAGACAAATAACAAATAATGTAATTATGTTTCCATTTTCTCAAACTTGTACAAAGCCTGGATAAATTTCCAGGCTGTTGTCGTGATGTAAAAAAAAAAAACATCCCAAAACTATAAGTATATAATTAAATTTTTAGATAATGTAATTTGATTTGTGCACATTTTTGTTTTCAAAATGTATTTATTTCACAAGACCCATTTTAAAGTACTCAATGACACCTTACCAATAAAAAAGCAGAGCAGGGTTGCACCCTTCCTCTTACTTTTTATACCTTTGTGCAATGATGCATGTTGATTCTTTGTAACTTATTTGCAATATACAGCAAATGTCAGGTAAATCCAAAGACTAAGATTTATTTCAGATAATTCAGACAGCAAAAACAAAGAGGACTAGGCTTAAAAGTGGACTACAAATTTATGTGTTTCAATGAATTTTAATGCTCTGCTCTGTTTCCTCTATGTGTATCACATTTACCAAAGATTCAAGTGCAGCAATTTAAGCCAATATGACAGAATATGGTTACTGTTTCTTTAAGAAACTCATTGAACCACTGCTCCTAATATTCACCTTCATCACTTTTTTGTCGACTTTTTTTTTTTTACTATTACTGGGAATTTTATGGCATTGTTGTTTGTTGCGACTTTGTCTTACTATGATGAATCTCCATGTTCCTTAATTGTTTTTTTGTTGTTTTTTTCTTTTCTTTCTTTTTTTTTACATGCACATTTACTTGTGCAATGCAAATCTTGTCTTTAATGTGTTTAAAGGGATTTGGGGAGCTCTCTCAAAATGCCTCAGTGAAAGCAGGCTCTGATGCCATAGTCTGTCTGTGTTGTTTAAACTCTTAACAACAAGCTACATCAGAATACGCAATTTCAGTCTCAAATGGGTGATTGAATTCTGTTACACTTCAGAAGTTGGTCACAAAACTTAGAACAAACATAATATTTTCTAAATTTAAGTTTTAGCCAAGTTATTCCAACTCCATTAGTTTAAAAAGAAAGAAATGATTAATTCATATTAATTCACATGTTGCGTTTAAAAAAAAAATCTTATGGAATGAATTAAAGAAAATCTACTTCTATAGGCAAAACCTTAATCTACCACACAAATCAGAATATTTGCATGTGCTTACCAACGGCCCGGCGCACCCTGACAGAGTGGTTCTCCTCAGCAGTTTTTGCTGTGAGCGACACAAGATGAACACATGCATACAAAAAAAGCACAAAGCCCAAAAAGTAAGGAATGAAGTCCTTTCTCCTTTTTTTCTGCACTGCTGGAGCTTTATCCATAATAATTTGAAAGATAAATAAAATAACCTGAATCAACAGTTCTTCCAGAGAACCATGTGTCGCCCTAGTTGAATTAGTTTGCAGGGATTTTAAAGAAAGTTGAAACTGCTTGTTAAAGCTGCATCTAACTCTACTCTAAACTACAAGCTGCACAGAGAGGATATCAAAGCGGGGGGAAGCATCCTTTAAGGTCTGCTGGTACTACAGTGAGAGTGGGGGGTAGGGGGGGGGTCACGAGTTGCGAGTCATTCCACTTGACTTGAACGGACTCCTGCCTGAGGCGCATCAGAGGGTGTAATTCCTCATAAGCAGGCTTTAGCGCAGATCTACCACTTTTTAAACAGGCGGAAACATGTTATTTTTTCAGTGGTGAAAGAATCACAGTAAAAGATCTGAAGCTGAGGATTTTGGGGGGTTAACACTGCCATGGATTACATTTCACCTTTATCCCAACTGATGGCATAAACCCATAAAAATGAGGATAAATAATTATTTATGATCTTCATATCTTCGGCAATTGGATTTATCTTGACGTGTATTGAGATGACACCTCCAAAGTCACCTTACTGATAATAAACGTCAACTCCTAACATTATTTTTAGAAGATAGCCTAGCCATATATTTTTCACTACCGGTCTTGTGCCAGAAGAGGGGTGTGTGTTCCGAGTCTGATGGACAGGACTTGTTTGGACATGCCTCAAGTCACCCCGAGTTTGAGCAGGAAGCATTTCCGAAGCTCTCATTCCAGATCCCTGGAATTATTCAGCTAAGAATGAAGGTCTGCTGCACTAATCCACAGAAGTAGAGGGTGAGTTTGCTTGTTAGTTTTCAATGCGAGTTACTCTTAACCTGTTATTCATGAGAGGACCCAAATTTGGGTCCTCTCGTGACAGAGGTGTCAAACTCCAGTCCTCAAGGGCCTCTGTCCTGCAACTTTTAGATGTGCCTCTGCTGCACCACACCTGAAAAGAATAATTAGGTCATTAGCAAGGCTCAGGAGAACCGATCTACACAGGGAGGAGGTAATTAAGCCATTTCATTCCACTGTTTTTTACCTGTGGCACATCTAAACACTGCAGGACAGCGGCCCTTGAGGACTGGAGTTTGACACCCCTGTGAATGACAACCTGTGAACAACAGGTTAAGATTACTTGTGGTTTGTCCTGCACGAGCTTATAATACAAGCAAAACGATATTTTAAAGCAGTAAATCAATTTATTGTGTGTGTGTGTGTGTGTGTGTGTGTGTGTGTGTGTGTGCGGCATGATGGTTAGCCCATAAAGCCCACGCTTATTTTGTTGTGATGGCTCAATATGTAAACACAGCAGTGTGCATTACGTCCGCTTCATAAATATCTCTGAGTCAATGGCGCCCCTTAGTGGATTTGAACCGTCATGTCGCTTCGTCTGTTGCTGAATCACAGAAACGCTTAATTCGGTGATTCTCAATAGACCAGGGGTATCAAACTCATTTTGGTTTAGGGGCCGCATACAGCT